GCCTTCATTAGCAAGTTCGACTACGGTTGAACCGGGACTCAAGCTATGCGCCCTCGTCAAAAGTTCAACTATGGTTGAACCAAGACAGGCTATGCGCCTTCGCCAACAAGTTCAACTACGGTTGAACCAAGTCAGGCTATGCGCCTTCGCCAATAAGTTCAACTACGGTTGAACCAAGACAGGCTATGCACCTTCATTAGCAAATTCAACTACGGTTGAACCGGACTCAGGCTATGCGCCTTCATTAGCAAATTCAACTACGATTGAACCAAGACTCAGGCTAGGTGCCCTCGCCATTAAATCCAACGAGCTCGACCTCGCTCGAACTACAAGGATGGACGCCTTCGTCCTCAACTTTAGCAAGTTCAACCACAGTTGAACCGAAACTCAGGCCAAACGCCTTTATTCGTGAAAGCAAAGCCCGACCTCCAACAAATCAAGGCGCAGGGTAGGCACCCTCGCCATTCAAGTAAGTTCTCCCAACTCGAATTAAGACTCGGGCCGCGTAAAGTTCGGCCCCGGTCAAACTACGAGGCTGCGTTTTTTACTATCACGACCGGTAGTTCGACCGCGTCCGAACTGGGACTAAGGCTAAACGCCGCTATCGCCAAATAACGGCCAAGACGCCCGCACCGAGTTGAAAAAGCAAGGCCATCAATTATATTGTGGCTAAGGCCATCATCGCCAACATCGACCTAGATTCGACTAAGGTGAATAAACGACTCGACGACAGTCGAAGTCGCCTTTATGGCTAAGACCGTCGATTCTGTCACGACTAAAGTCGTCGATCTAAATTCGACTAGGGCCGCCAGTGCCGACGTTCAACAAAAAGCACAACAAAAACTCTAAAGAACGAAAGAAAAACAGTGACATAAAATAAGCACAAGGCAGGCAATAGAAAAGAAAACTTATATATTTACAAAGTCAAATTGCGGGTCATCCCCGCTTACACCCGGCCAAGGCCGATCAATACAAGAAATAAAAAGAAAAACTACAAGAAACACCTAAACGCCAAACGGCGAACAAGACGAGAAAAAATGCATCATCATCTTTTTTACTCGGTGCCGTCCGCGCCATCGTCTGCACCAGCGTCAGCCTCGGGCGTCGCCACATCAAAACCACAATCAGCACGGGCCTCACGAGCCTTCTGACGCGCCCCCTCGAAAGCAGCTTTGGTCACGACGCCAGCCTCTCACAAGCTCTTATATACATCACGTTGGGCCTCGGCAAAAACCCAAAGTTCTCGAGCCTGGCTGGAAGAAGCGGCTTGATCCCGTAGCCGCTGATTCTCTTCTTCCAAGGCCGTGATTCGGTCCGCCATGACCTGGGCGTCCTGCTCGAAGACACCAATCGGCTCCTCGAGACTTGCTTCTCTAAGGGCCGCGGCATCCCTTTCCAACATCCGCTGGGATTCATGCACGTGGATAGCTTCCCTCAACACCTCGGCCCTCGACGAGGCGTCCCTCACTTGAAGCTTCAACAACGCGACTTCATCCTCCAGCGCGGTCACCTTCCCGCTCCATGCCGCAGTGACTTCCGCCGCCTTCGCCTGGCCCAGGAGCTCGCCCTCAGCTACAACCCTCTTTACCGCCTCGAGCTCCTCATCCTTTCGGCGAAGCTGCTCATCCCGCCTCGCCAGCTCTTCGACCAAGGCCCAGCTACGAGGATCATCCCTCAAGCGCTCTTGCAATTCTCGGCACTGATCTCGGTAGCGATACTTCTCCAGCGCCCGCAAAAATATCCCCGAGCGGACTTTGGCTCGACGGATGCTCTCCACCTCCAACAGATAAGACTGCAAAGCAAAGACAACGATCAAGATAAAAGAACAAACTTGAGGCAAAGAAGAAACGATCCAACGCAACGGTACATACCCTCAGGCCCATCACGGCTACTTCATTCATCAGCCCGACATCCGTAACGCCCCTCAGCGATGCATTCTCGGCCTCCGAGCATAGCGGCTCGAACTGCGGCACTAAGTTTTCCCCTTGGAGCAATAGGTTCAATTCCGTGGGAACTTCGATAAGGCGAGATCGCCCCTCTGCGCGCACCGCTGAGTTGGTAGAGCCTTCCTGAAACATACGGACGTCGTCGGGATCCAAGTCGGATTCGGACTCATCCTCACCCACTTTAGCAGCCGCTGAGGAACTGCCTCCCGTCTCAACGACTGGAACCACCAATTGAGCCGCCGAAGCGACGGTATCATCACGGCCTAAGCCAACCGGGGCAACCCCCATTGTTTGTTCGCCCTCAGGGGCAGGCGCCGCAGCAGCACTCATCTCCACGTCTGCCGGTGGAGAATCCAAATTAATCACCAAAGGAGGAGCCGGCGCGAATGCGACCCTACGCCTCATCGACGGCCTCTCCTCCTCCCCCTCTGACGATGATCCCGCTCTAGGGCGCACAACTCCCGAAGGCTCCTCATCCCGAAGCCGGGTCCGTGACGGAGAAGAAACCGCTGAAGATTCAACTGAGGCCGCCCTCGGTATTGAGCGCGACACCGGCGCTGCAGTAAGCCGAGCGACTGCGCCAGGCCGACGGAAGGCCAACTGAGGGGCCTTGACGCGGCGTGCCCTCCCTAATCACAAAAAACAAGGTTAGTAAATAAAGCTGAAACAAAGCAGAACAGAAGGAAAGATCGATTTTTTACCTGCTACGGGCCTACGGCCATGCCTCTCCCAGAAAGACGCCCACGTACGTATCCCCCTCGTATGGGGGAGCACGGCATCGACCCATTCACGTATCCAAGACAATGGGGGCGGCGGCGACCTGTCGGCTACAAAAAAAAGGGCGAGAGTTAACGCTCATAAGCGCAAATCATAAAGGAGAAAAGAAAAGAGGATTCAACCGATAAAAAAAAAACTTACGTGCATGGTTCCAAGCCTCTGGGAACCCAGTAGCATCCGCCACCAGGTGCTTGGTCCTGATATAAAAGAAGTGCTCGAAAGGGCGGGGCTCGACCTCGTCATCCAATCTCATGACCAGGCCCTTCGACCCACGTGGGCACGCCTGAATCATGGTACCACGGACTCTCTGAGGAGCGTAGAGACTCAGCACATGCTGCAGCGTAACCTCCCTACGGGCCAATTCCGCGTACTTGATAAACATTGCCAAAAGTTTGTAGAGGGAAGGAGCGAGCTGACCTGGGCACACCCCGTAATAACGGCAAAAATCCACCACCAGCATTGGGAGCGGGATCTTGAACCCCAACCTGAAAGGATAGGCGTAAAAAACGCAGTATCCCCTACGGTCGGTGTGGACCCTCTCCTCGCTTCTAGCAAGAACGATGTCCGCATGGGTAGGAACGACGCCCTGTTCCCGCAATCGGGCCATCCCAATTTCCCCCATCAAAGGGGCTTCATCCACCGGTTCCTCTCCACCGTCGACGGTGAAATCAATCGCCGGACCTCCGGGCCGAGGAACCACCTCGTCAACCGACGAAATTTCGCCGGACCCCGTCTGTTCCACACCTCCCATCGCCAGAGATGGTTCGTCAGCTGCCGGAAAATCTACCGGAAGAACACCATGGGAAGAACTGCCAGCCATTGGTAATCTACTGAAAACAAATGTGATCGCAATCGAAGGAAAGAAAAGAAAAGATGAATCAGCGAGAAGACAAAGTTTCCTCAGAATCTCTCTCAACTGAACAATGAAGATATGAGAAATGAATGCCTCAACCCACCTTTATAGGCAACATAAGTGGCTTTTGCAAAGCCCAATAGCCATCATTAACTGCACGACCAACCGCAAAACGGTTCGGTTCTGTAGCAGCAAGCGTCATTATGACGAGCTCCATAAAGCGGCTTCTCGACCATCCGCCAGCGTACCGCCGTCAGAACAATCGCTACGACCTATGAACACCGAAAGAATGTGCCGAACGCCGTTAAAATTTTGGACGACCAAATACGTACTCGGCGCATATTCATTCCCCACGGCCATCTCCAATATATAAAAGGCTACGGCCATCTCCAATATATAAAAGGCTACGGCCATCCTCAATATACGAAAGGCTACAGCTATCTCCAACGTGTAAACGGTTAAGGCCACCGCCGCCAATAATTCGACTCCCTTATTCGAGTTGTTTACAAATCACAATCGATGAAGTCCGCTCATCGAGCTCGGCCGAAACACGACCTCAATAAGCGGAGGGACTAACTGTATGGGTCAAAATCTGATCCCACGATAATTAACGAGGCTAATCCCGTTTTAAGTTAATTCATGATTAATTAACGGCACGAACACTCAGGATTGACAACGTTCAACCCGCCTCTAGCTCGGTCGACAAGGCCCTGGCCTACGCGCCAATACAAAAGGCGAGATCTCAACGTGGTTACGGCCACTTATCGCCAGCTCACAAAGCTCACAGCTATAAATACCAAGAGAGGAAACCCCAGAAAGGGGGGCTGCTTCTCGAAACTAAGTATTTTCTGGAAAAGAGAAACACCGAAATTAACACAGACATAGTTCAGGATTTAACGACTTACTCTGATACCAGTTGTTGGGCTAAACTAGCCCAAAGATACTCTTAATATGGTGTGATATTGTCCGCTTGGGCAAGCCCGTACGGTTTTCCCCAAAAGGCCTTACACCATTTAGAGATCCCTATACCTTATATGTAGACTCCCAATCTTTTCAGCTACCAATGTGGGACTTTGTTCGCACATCTAACAGAACGTTCCCAAAATGGTCCATCCAAAATAATATACGACCTGTTGGGTAGAATAAGTTCATTGAATAGCCTACTATCGAAACTCCAGTTTCAATCTTTCATCATAAAAATGAGTTCATTATCCTTGTGATGTATAATGTGTTGTGGGAAGAGAACCAGTTACCAGTAATAGGAAATTCGTGAAGCATAGAACTGTGCCTGATAGAAAATGTTACAGTCTATCATGACTTATTGAGTAAAGGGTACACAAGAAACTTCTTTGAACCAAACTGACTTCATTGATTGTCAGAGGGCTGTACACTTCAATAACAACAAGCATATTTTATCAATAAGGTTACATTTCTGGCATTGTTTCAAGAGAAGGTTCTGACAACCCCAAGGTTGATAACCAATCTAATAAAGCTTTATTCACTTGTTCTGGAACTTCGTCGTGGGGGTAATGCCCTGCCTGCAAGTTTACAAGGGTTGTGTTTGGGTAGAAATCCTTAATTCGGTTTGCCTTTGCATGATCAACCCAAGGGTCTAGGTCACCCCACAACAACAACAATGGGCAAGAGAGTTGGCTCAGCACACTCTCAAGTGTATACTTTCTCGGGTTCGATATAAGTTGTCTTAGTAGTCTGCACAATGCAAAGTAGAGAACATCAGATGAGTTTCTTAACCTAAACTTTTGATAGACAAAGTGCAGTAGGAACTTTCGCATGAAATGAACGCCAAAAAACTGACATTACAAACAACCTAAATCTGGTGCTGCTCACATACTTATCAGGCTACATAGGATAGGATATATATAATGATGGAACTTAGAAGAAAGTTTGATGTATCAAACCACTAGGCAAAATGATCCCCTAATTATGGAGTGAAATGGCGTGATAAAGCAGATGTAGTAAGACTATTTTGTACACTTCTGAATATTAGTAGCTCAACATTGTCTTTGAACTTTGACCAATCTGCAACTCTTTCAGTATTAGCTTATAAGCCCGACGAATTCAGTTTAAAGTTCAAAACACAAATTCATCTATCATGAGAGTCAAGGAAATCGATAAGAATGATGATGATATTTACACTGAGATTTTAGACTGATATTTCACATTGATTGTGGTGAAATTTCTAGTAATACTTCTGCTTCTTCCAAGGGAAACAAAGTAATGTTCTTTTAGCTACCAAAACGGAGGCAAAAACCTATAGGCTGTGGCTGCATTCATACCGGTAATAAACTTCCCCTGCATTTGGATCAGCAGCAGGAATAGCAACTGAATTGAGGAGGTAATCATCCACATTTGAATGGTTTCTATAGACCTTCAAGAGACAAACATCAAGAAAGTTAGTTCTTCTGTCTGCTAATAGTTCCTGAAGATTGTCAGTGGGTGACTAAATAACAAATGAAATGCAAAATGAAGAAACAACCCATCCGTTTCTGATGCATCATCCTGCGAAAGTTACAAATTTGAAGCCAAGAAAACAATATTAGAAAACAGCTTCACATGGAAGCAACCATGAACTATTTCTCGCTCCATCTATGATTGTCGATTTTCACTTTTAGAAAGTCAGCTTTCCTATTCCAAGAGTGAGATACAGCGTTGGCTAAATGTCGTTTTCTATGAAATGAACTTAGAGTTTGAAACCTAGATCACATGAAACACAACAAACAACTTTAGTATTTCAAATCTTTTTGAAAAGTTAAGAAAATTACGTGAAGTGGAACTTTTTGACTTGAGAAAAATGATAAAAGAGAGATAAATTGGGTCAGAGGGAGTAATTTAGAAGAATTAAAAGATTCAATGGTCCAATTCGAAAACTGATGAATCTTAGTTTCTGCAAGAACTCATGTGTTAGTTGGTCTTACTTATCGATCAACTACCAAATGCTTCTTTTGTTTGCTTATCTATTTGGACTCAGCTTACCATATCAACAAAAAGAGGAAAAAAAGCTAACAGCTATTACTACTTACAGATTCTCTGAGATAGGACACATATGTGCACAAGCTAAAAGGTAAGAGCACTAGTGCATAATTTGCATATGCAAGCAAAGCAAAAAATCAAAATTCATTTTAAAAAGTTGGTAGAAGAAAATTTAGCTAGGAAGCAACATACACCACTCTTCAGCTGAGCTTCAATTTGAGCTGGTCGCATGGATAGCCAAAATGCCAATCCGACGACAACACGTTGAAAGATTTCCTCTAGTGGCCTTACAATGAACTTTCCTAAGGCTGTCTCTTCAGTTGTGTCAGTTGAAGTAATGTCATCCCCAAATTGTCCTGCACTATTTAATAAGGTAACTGCCTTGACTTGCTCAGCTGGCAGTGCTGCTGCTGCTAACAAAGTAGTAAATCCTCCAAGACTGTTAAATAATACAACAGACATCATAATTGAATTCAATCCAATAGTATATGTTACTGAAACAGTACCAGTTGCTAATTCATGCAATGGAAAGTTGCTAAATGAGTGAACTCACCCGTTCCCCACTAAAACCGTGGGTTGTTTAACTATCTCCTTTAAGAAGTCGGCAACCTGATCTCTCCAAATCAAGGCATCATAGTCTATTCGTGCCTTTTCGCTCCAGCCAAATCCGAGCAAATCCAGAGCATAAACCTTGTAATTTTTAGCCAGTTCTGGTATATTATACCTGAGAAAAGAAAGAAATGGTTTCTGGAGATTAGATGAAATAGTACTATGCCAAAAGGATGTGCATATGCAAGCTACACCAACTAGTATATTATCTGTCTTTGTAGCATTAATAAATATACCATGGACAATGTATGAACATCAAAATAAAAAATGGAATTCCTTAATAAAGATAAATAATAGCAAAATCCCATTTTAGGAGTGACAACACAAGAGTTCTTTTGCAATTTTGTTAGAAAACAAATGTATATCAAATAGTAAGAAAGAAGAGTATAATCCCACTTAATCTTGTGAACACCATGTCAACTCTATCCCGCTAAATCTTATGAACTCAATGCCATACAAATACAGAGACCGAATTACCTCCAATGAAAAGCAGAAGTACCAAATCCGTGAATCAAAACAACTGACAACCCTTCCCCTTCCTCTACATAATGAATTTTATGCCCTCGCCATGTCCAATAGTTGTAACCCTCTGGTTTAAATGGTAATTGCTGCAAGCCTATATTATCATTTCTTTGTCAAGTATTTCCAAAAGTAAGCAACCCTTCCCCAAAAGAAGGAAAATAAAGCAGTAATTCTCGTAAAACGGGTGATGAAACTAACCTTGAGAGGATTCAGCAACTACAGAAGGAGTCATAACTGAAGCGCCAGTAGCAACAATTCTTTTAATAGCAAAAGTCCTTCTATTTAATTCCCATCTGCCCCCTTGTACTAAAAGAAAAGGAAAAAGAGAGATCAAAACTTAACATCAATGAGTTGCACATAGTAATCAAGAAACTGGTGTAAGGTTAAACAAAAAGCTTACTGAAATGATTACTTCTTCCGGGTACAGCTAACCTGTTACCTTTCGGATTCAACCATTCGGTGCTAGCCCTAGCACAACAAGTTGACATCGATGTTACTTACAAACTAGAAAGTACCCAAAAGCCTCAGGCCTGAGGATTCAAGAATCTTTATGCATGGACTTTTGGAACAGTTGAACGTGGAACTTATACAGAAGTTAAGTAATTAATCTGAAATACAATGTTATATTTTGTCCTACATCCCTTACATTAATTAATGATTTTACGAGCTTGGAAAGTACTTGTTACAGCAATATTTTAATAGAAAGGTAGTATAAATTGAGCTCTTGAACAAGCAAATATAAAACAACCTTCACATGAGGGCTATTTAACATTACTACAATGTGTGAATCACTGAATCTAATAACTCAATCTATTAAAAATGAGAAATTTAATTCAATGTAATCAATATGTGTTCGCGTGATCTTTTTCAGAAACAATGTGAGACTAGGAAAGTGCTGCCGAATTGCTTCAATGAGGAATCCTTTTGTTCCAGGCAGAAGACAAAACAACTTGTCGTCCTCTCGCGACAATGCACTTAGAAATTTCGGAACATCCCATGTATAATACTAAACAGATGTCAAAAGCTTGCTCTTCTTTCATTGTATGCTACATTAGCTGGATTTAATTACTCCAGCACCAGCTCATCGTGTTCACCAATGTTTCTGCTTAACTGCTTTGTGTTCATCGTTGTTTCATTTTTTACTAAGTATTCCTTGTTTCTCCAACTCTTGGCTCTCTGGCATAGTTCTCTTCATCCTTTTAGGAGCCACTTCAGAATATCCTGATTCCACTCAACGTGAAATCATATATTACGATGACCATCTCATATAAATTAAAAGCTTAAACGGTTATACAGAACATATATTTATTTACTTAATTACCCCTTAAGTACGTCAAGACTCAGCTCATGACATATGTCTACTGTAATACCATTTTAAAAACTATGTGACCAACTTTATCCAAAAATTTATACATATCCAACACCGTGGTTTTGTTTTCCTTGTGCTTTTCACAAAAAAAGAAGGAAAAAAATTGGTACAATTCTTGTTACCATTCTCTGTATCTTTCCTGTCTTTACAGAATATGTTGGATGCTAATTCCCACCTATGATTATTTTCTCCTTTTAGACCAGCAAATTGTTTGAATTTCCAGTGTTCGAATCATAGCTAAGAGAGAAAATTAAACTCCTGCTAAATGGAGGGAGCTTCAACATATAACAGAACTCTACAACTGAAAATCTCGTCGAGTATGAGGCAAAGAAGAAGTGGTTACGAGCCATCAGATACTGAGACAGACTGGACATTGGACAGTCCACACCTGGAAGCAAATGCAAACAATGAAAAAGAAATACATCTTGAAGAGCCTGAAAGCGAAGAGCCAGATCTAGCATTGCAGAAAGCAAAGGACAATAATTTTTTGAATGTAAGCTGGAGGACTAATGTGCCAAGTCCTGCTCGAAGGAGAACTACTAAGTCTCCTTATAAGCCTCGTAGAGATACCGATGATGATGATGTTCATTCTCCTGAAAAAGCTTTGCCAAGAAGTGTTAGCACATTTGCACGCAGGCCTGATTTATATTCTCGTAGAAATGTTAGTCCTTTTCAAAAATCTGAGTACCATAGACATACATCTCCATATAAATATGAGGATGAATTTGCTGATTCAGATAGAAAGCAAAACAATGTTCATAGTAGACTTGGGGAGAAATCAAATTATAATCGCAGGTATGCTTCTGCTCCTAGACCTGACAGACAACATAGGTTTGATGCTTCTAAGGAGCGAAGGAAAGCAGATAAGACGACGTCCCAATTGCCAAATAGGAGCTTGTCGCGGAAAGAGAGGGAAACTCCGAATAAACATGGACCTACAGGAGGTGAACTTAATGAAATGATTGCCAAAGCAAAGATTTCTGGAAGCAGTACAGGCGCTAATCATATGTTTGAAAGCACAGAAACCATTGCACCTGGTGATATTTTCTTTTCTCAGGATTATGCAGCCTTGACTATGCAGCAGATTACTGAAAACAAATCCAATAAAAAGACTCATGTACTGACTGATAAGAATGTTGTACTATCTGCGAAAACACCTTCCAATTTTAATAATCAAAGTAGCAGAAGGAATTTATCTAGTAATACTATGACTCGACCAACTATGAGCGCGAGTTCTTCTGTAAGTAGGCAGAGCAGTAATTTGAGTGAGGCTAGTGGAAGGACAACTGCAAGTATGAAAAGGTTCACGACGAACAGGCAAAAGAAACAATCAGAAGCATGGTTTCCTTGTCTCAACAAGGGATCTTGTAGAACCTCAAGAAGAGAATCTCCAGAAAGAGGGCGCCCGATTGATGAAGCTTTAGTTATTGCCAAGGCATCTATAGTTGAAAGCCTGAGACCCTTTTGGGCTGATAGTTATCAGCCTGCTTCACTAGAAGGATTCACTTGCCACAAGCAAGAAGCTTTACTACTTAAAGACCTGGTAATGACAAGAGGAAATTTTGTACTAGTAGTTAACTTTTTCTGCTTAGATTACACAAGTTTCTTGGCTTTTCTAATGCTTTTTTCTTTTAGGTTTCTTCAAATGAAACCCTTCCACATATCTTACTCAAGGGACCTTCTGGCTCTGGGAAGAGAACGCTCGCGATTTCTCTTCTTCATGAAATCTATGGAGATGCAATCTGCAATGTAAGTAGAAATGTAGAATGACACTTATTAGAAGATATAGAGCTATGCTACATCTTTTATTGTTCATCAGTAGAAATCTTCAAGTTTTTTATGTTTCTGTTTCGCAGATATCCCATGATCTGAGATACTTCCAAATTAAGGTACCTTAGGCTTTGATTTATTTTCTGCTATTTATTCAATTTTCTGATCTTCCATACCGCATAAAAGCAAACATAATTAGCATCCATAATGAAGAATTCCATTTTTATTGCTTAACCAGTACCAAGAAGTATAAGTGTTGTTTTTCTCTTCTTATCCCCTATTTGCTGATAGGAAACAAGGCCAGTGCAAGTTGTTGTACCAGTATGCTCAAGTCCTCACCATATAGAGCTCAATGTTCAGTTGGAACCTAATGCTAGATATGCAATAATGGCTTTTGTTAAGCAAATAGGTACCGAGTATGCACAGACCCCTGAAATCAGCAGAGCGAATATGAAGGCTGATTACAAAGGTTCATGTCTTTCGATGTAAAAACTGTTTTAAAAGCATTGTATCACTTCAGTCTTGATATCTAATAATAAATTTCTACTTACAGTAATAGTTCTTTATAATGTGGACAAAGCGGCGGAGAACATACAACACCTAATAAAATGGATAATGGACTGCTATTCAGATGCTTGCAAACTCATTCTCTGCTGTGAAGATGATGTATCCATACTTGACTCAGTGAAAAGCCGCACCAAAGTTGTTGAACTTGCAGCTCCTGTAACTCATGAAGTAAGTCTCAAAGTAGTACATTGTAAAATAATTTACATTAACATTGACTATAAATGTAACATGTCATTTGAAAAATGAGTATCGTTCATATCTTCAAAACGACACGAGAAATTTCCTTCTTATTAATCTTTTGCATTGTTTTAGATCATGGAAGTTCTTATTCAGATAGCAAGAAAGGAAGATTTTGAACTACCGATGGGATTTGCTGCTAAGATAGCCGCCAAATCAAAGCAAAACCTGAGGAGAGCAATTATGGCTCTTGAAGCCTGCAAAGCGCACAAGTAAGACTACTACTTAAAGATTATGCTCTTGCTAGTTTGTGGATTACTAATCCCATAGGCAAAGCCACACTTTGCTTAGGGTGGTCAATTGACCACCCTTTATCGGAAAATAACATTGCGTATATATGTAAAATATTATGTTTTAGAGGTATATAACATATATTGAATACCCTTTGTCGGAATTTTTTTTTTACTTATTTCAAGTTTGAACACCCTTAAAGAAAATCCTGGCTTCGCCACTGACTAATCCACATACATAATACAGCTATCCCTTTGCCGAAGACCAACCAATTTCAATAGGATGGGAAGATATTGTAATAGAATTTGCAGCAGAAATTCTAGCTGATCCCACCACAACAAGGTACTTCTTTCCTTGGTTCCTTTTTCAATCTTTTTCTTTCCTTCACTATGTTAAAGGAAATTATGGATCCACTTTAGACTGTTAGTTTACACATGCATAAACTAGACATTTTCCTACTGTTGCAACAGGTTATTCTCTGCCCGAGGAAAGTTCCAAAAACTTCTGGTGGAGTTTGTGCATCCAAAACTTATTCTCCTGGTAAAGTATATGTACTTTAATGAGGATGGTAGTAATATTTAAGGGAGATCATAACATGATGAGTGTTCAATGCATGCAGAAACTAGTTGAAGAATTCCTTAAAAGGGTTGATACTGGTATAAAAAGGGAAATTTATTATTGGCATGCTTATTATGTAAGTTCTCTCCTTCTATATTAACATATTTATTTCAGAAAAGTTCATTGAATGACTGAGGACGATCTGCAGGAGAAAAGGCTCCCTCTTGGAACAACTGCTTTGTTAAAATTAGAAGGTACCTTGTTATGCTATGTATATATAAGACATTTTAAGTGTCATCAGTTGTATTCACCTGGATTGTTGATAGATTTATATGTATGACTGCAGAATTTGTGGCCAAATTTATGAGCATATACAGGAAAAATTTGGGCAACCGTCAGCAGTTTCACTAAAATTCGTGACTACATGGAGGCTATTATGATTGAGGGAAGGCTCAAATTTTGGTGCAACAGGTCTTCCCCTTTAATCAAACAGTCTGCATTCACGATGGGATAACAGTCATTCATTATATATACTGTATGTCCAAATATTCAATCATAAAGTGATGGTCGACTCACTCTACAAAGTCTATTTTTTTCGTCTCTTGTATTGATGTGTGCATTGTCAAATCTTGTTTAAGAGTGCAATAGCTACTTTCTCCACCGATCTTAACAAAAAGTATTAAGGTATTAATTTTGTATAAGCACTAGCACATCTTTTCCTGAAAGAAAAGAAAAAGTTCGTTGTTTCCAGTTCTA